TCATGAATTGTTCATTGCTCAGTTAAACCCATTTAAATTTAACTAGACTGAAGTTTTTATTTTAACAGTTTAAAGACCTTGTTATGTGTGAATTTGATCCACACATAGAATTTTGTTAACTTTTTTCCTAAAAACCCAGGCTTTGAATTTATTAACTTAGGTCTGCTGTTTTCTACTCCCCATATCATTACTTTCTGTCTTATCTTTTTTGTGTCATTCTTTTTGTTTGTTTTCTAGCCTATGGAGATGAGAATTTATTATCATTTTTTCATTTTTACTGCTAAAGTGTTTAGAACTATGGAGTTTTCTGACTGCTTTAAATGTATCCCATATATTTTTAATGAGTAGAGCTTTTAATGTTGTTATTATTTTTAGATTCTTTCACTTTATTTCCCCTTTCACCCAAGAGTTGTTTAAAAGACCCTTAAGAAATTTGCAGGTACGAGGATGTTTTGTCATTTTTCTTGTTAATAATTTCTAGTTCTGTTGCATTGAGTGTTGTTTGTATTATTTCTACTTTATGGAATTTACTAATGTTTCATTGTAACCAAATATATGATCAGTATTTGTGAATGTTCCACGTACTCTTGAGAAGTTTTATTGCCTATTATGAGGTTACAATGTTTGATATATGTATATATCCATAAAATTTACTTTATCAAATTTATTGAGTCTTTTCTATGTGATTTGGCCTCCTTGATGTACTAAGGTGTCTTATAATCTCTTATTGCTAATGTATTTCTACCTGTATTTCCTTAAATTACCTTGTAGTTTTGCCTTATACAAGTGATTACTGTTTCATTTGGGATATTTCTTAACTGCCATATCTTCATTTTGATTTTTGGCTCTCAGCATTAAGAAATATCCTTCTCGTAGGCTGAGACAGGAGGATCACTGGAAGCCAGAAGTTTGAGACCATCCTAGGCAACATAGTGAGACTATGCCTCTACAAAAAATTAAAAAATATTTTAACTAGGCATGACAGCATGACTCTGTAGTTCTGCTGAGGCTGAGACTGCAGGATTGTCTGAGCCCAGGAGTTCTAGGCTGTAGTAAGCCATGATCATGCCACTGTCCATTGCACTTTAGCCTGGGCAACAGAGTGAGACCCTATCTCTCTCTCTCTAAAGAAAGGTATCCTTCTATGTACATTTAGTGCGTAAGCTTAAATTCTACAATTTTGATCAGGATTACTACTTGTTTTCTTATTGTTTTCATTTGCCTATAATATCTTTGGCCATTTCTTGATATTTAGTCTTTCAGAATCACCTTGTTTGAGTTATGTGTCTAGTATACAGCATAATACATTCAGTCCTGTTTTAGGAGCAAAATTGCAAATCTTTTTGTTTTAATAGTTGAGGCTCATTCACATTTATTAATGTGATTAATATGTTTGATTTCAGTTGTCATATTATTTTATACAGGTTGAATATCCCTTGTCCAAAATGCTTGAGACTAGAAGTTTTTCAGATTTCAGATTTATTAGATTTTGGAATATTTACATATACATAATGAGATATCTTGGAGATAGCACCCAAATGTAAATATGAAATTTATTTGTTTCATATACATCTTATTCATATAGCATGAAAGTAGTTTTATACAATATTTAAAATAATTTTATTTATGAAACAGTTTGTGTTAAATACTTAGGTGTGGAATTTTCCACTTATGATGTTGTGGCTGTGCTTAAAAAGCTTCAAAGTTTGGAATGATTTGGATTTTGAAATTTTGAATTAGGGATGCTCAACCTGTAATTGTATGCTATGGTACATTTTATGTTTTTCCTATCTACCAGATATTTTTCTCTTCTCCTTTATTTTTGAAATTTGTATGGTATTTAGGAAGATTTATATTTTTGTTTTATTGGTTACCTTTGTACTTACATTTTTAAAACACCCTTAGAAAACAGGGGACTATTTTCTTATTTAACTTCTACTATCTTCTTTGTCAGTTTTTAATTTTTTTCCAGTGGTGGTTGTTGAAAAGCACCAATTTTATGTCATTCTATCTCAAATCCAGACAAATAACCTCAGTTGCTTCAACAAACTTCTCTATAAAATAGAAGAAGCTGGGCAGAGAGCACCAAGATTTGTCAATAGTATCATTAAAATTACCCAGTGCACTAACATTGCTTCCTATCCTGACACAAACACACCTACCATCTCTCATTGCTTATGATGTATTCTTATTCACCTGCTACAGAGTGGAAATGATATTGAACCCAGGAACTAAGATATAATCATAACTACCATTTATTAAACACATACTTCATGCCAGTGCTGGACTGGACACTGTTCCAAATGACCTTATTAATCTTCCCAACAAATCTATGGGATACATATTTCTATCCAGTTTAAAGGTGAATTAGATTAATGAATTTCATCATGTGTAGAGGAAAGTTTTAAGCCCAGGTCTACCTGACTGTACAGGACCTGTTCTTTCTATACTTTTGTTTCTTTAATAATATCCTTGTATATGTCTGTACTATAATTTTAAAAAAATCATTGCTTTATCAGTTTTTTTTTTGTATCTTTTAACTTTTACCTCTTGCCTATTTAGTAATCAATGAACTTATTCTACTTTCCTCTTTTTCTTTCCCACACCTCCTGTTTTTTAATAGGTGGACTTTTTCTTTCTGGTAGTGGTTTTAGATTAATTTTAGTTTTGGTGGCTCCCTTCTTTTCTCTTTATTTTACTCAATTTTCCCTCCCTCCTCCTCTCTCCCTCCCTCCCTCCCTCCCTTCTTCCCTCCCTCCCTCCCTCTCTTTCATTCTTTCCTTTTTTTTTTTTTTCAAAACATGGTCTCATGTTGCCCAGGCTAGAGTGCAGTGGCTACTTGCAGACAGGATCTTGCCATCGATCAGTGCGGCAGTTTTGACCTGCTCCATTTCCCTCCTATGTTGGTTTACTGCTCCTTAGGCAACCTGGTAATCCCTTGGCCCCCACAGGTCACCATATTGAAGCCCAACTTAGTGCAGACACCTGGACGGTGTAGTGCACCGCAGCCCAGAACTTCTAGGCTCAAGCGATCCTTCTGCCTTAGCCTCCAGAGTAGCTGGAACTACAGGCACACCCAGGGTGCCTGGCTTTTTTGCTCAATTTTTGTTTCTAGTAGTTCACTGTGGTCTTCTTTTCTCTCTTCTTTTTTCCCCCTATTATAGGTAACTTGAAGTCTGGCATTTTTGTCTTCTAGTTATACTGAAGACAGAGTTTTTGTATACTTTTATTTGTTCTTGTTTTGTTTTTTGAGGATATATAGAGAAACTCAGATTTAGGCAGCCACGTCTACCAGGTAGTCCAGTAAATGTATTTTGAGTCATATGTTAGAGATTCTGTTATTGTCTCCCTGCTGCAATCTTTTGTTCTCTTCCACAGCCTCTGCTGAAGGAGTAAGCACAAGTGATCATATTTGTAACTAAAACAAGTGACCTTATTTGTATTAAATGACCTCACCCTTTGGCCACAGATGTCTAGACCTGTATGGATACAGGACCTAAACTCTGCCAAACTGATTATATCTTTCGAGAATTTGAACGAAAGGACACAGAAATGTAATCAGTTAGTATAGGACACTGGAGCTGTTAAGTCTTGTAAAGTCAAGGCCACAGTGTCATGAAAACTGAAGGTATGGAGGAGCAGAAACTAAGAGGTTCACAGAGGCAGGTGGAATGCAAAAAGTACTGAGCAGAGAGAAATTATAATGGTGTCTTTGGAGCAATAAGAGAATGAGGCAGGAAGAGAGCCAAAGAAACTGATATAAACAGTTTCTGATGACTATTCAATTCCCAAGAGATGAGCTTGAATAACTTCCAACAATATTCCACATATTTTTATATTATTATATTAAATTTTCTTGAGTTTTTTTTGGGTGTGGGTCTCTGTTTCTTAATTAATTAATATCCTGAATATATTATGCTTTAATAAATGTTTATTATCCTGGTGTTAGTACCCAGATACAATATGATGTGGGACTACAAATAATGAGGGCTATTCACAGAATTGACTTGAGATAATTTGAGAGTATCAAGTTATTAAATATATTACAAGAATTTTGGGTCTGGAAGGGACCTATGAGGAATATCTAGTTCAAATTCTCAAATTTTAGAGAAGAGAGGCCAGGAGAAAATGATTTGCCAAACTTCGACATTGAATTAGAGATCTCATTAGAATTAGAACTGTGGTTTCCTGATGTCCAGTCTAGTTTTTATTTGACTACATGTTCTGAGTTAGACAGTATAAGCCCCCAAATTCATATCTAATTGAAACTGCAGAATGTGACCTTATTTGGACTAGCATCTTCGCAAATGTAATCAATTAAGATGAGGTCATACTCAATTAGAGTGGATGGACTTTAATCCAATATGACTGGTGTCCTTACAAGAAGGAAAAACAGAGAGAATGCCATGTGGTGATACAGCAGAGATAAGAGTGATGAAGCTGAAAGCCAAGAAATACCAAGGATTGATGACTGCTACCAGAAGATAGGAAGAGGCAGGGAAGAAAGGTTTCTCCTCTATAGCTTTCAGAGGTACTACTGACCTCTGACTTTAGACTTCGCCTGCAGAATTGTGATTATAAATCTCTGTTGTGTTAAGCCATCCAGTTTATAGTTCTTTGTTATGACAGCCTTAGGAAACTAAATATACTACCGCATGGTGCACCTTTTAATGAGAGAGATTCTGCCCTGAATGTCACCAAAAAAGTATACAGAAACTAGATTCTTCAAAAGGGAAGGAAGTAGCTTTTTCTGTTGGGTATATCAATCTTAACGTTTAAATTCTTCAGTGTACTTAGCTATACTTTTGTGCCATTTAGAGATTACAGTATTGTTCATTTGGGATTTTCAAGGAAGTATGTCACTAGGAAATTTTGCTTTTATTCTTTTAAGGAATAATGAGTGGTGGCAGGCATATGGAGTGTGTGTGTGTGTGTGTGTGTGTGTATGTTATGAATTTTCTGTTATATGATAATCTGAAATATTGTACTTTTATTTTCAGGTTACTGAAGCTAAAGGAGATGTTTAACTCCAAGTTTGGATCTATTCCCAAGTTTTATGTTCGAGCACCAGGAAGAGTCAACATAATAGGTATTTCAAAAGTTCCTTCTCTTAATTTTTTTCTTCATCCTTTGGTAAGATCTAAATTTTAAAAAATATATTTTTCTTAATTTTTCCCAAAATAGAATATTTCACATATATCTACTAATAGTAAGATGTGTCTTTGCATAAGGAACACACTTTACTTTTATCTTTCCCAATCCATGTTATTAGTGTTGTTCATTCATTTTTTAAATGTATAAATTTGTTGAAACCAAGTTGTTAATATTGTTTTCATAAAAAGTGAAAATATTTTTCTAGGCCACAGGTTAAAATTTTAGACTGTGGTAAGTAGTTTTGATGGTTTTATATTTACTCACTGGGTTAGAGAGGCACAGGGAAACCTTACAATTCCTTGCTACTAAAAGTGTGGTCCAGATTTTGCAGGTCTTCTAGATGAATTTATCTTTTCCTTTGTTTATCCTATGAAGTACTTTGAATTTTACTACCTTTTAGTGGTAAATAACATGCCTTTCAACATTTTGTTTACTATCATTTTATCAATGTCCATGTATATAATAATTGACATAGTTGTACTTAGACTCCATACCATTTTTATCTTCTTTCATTTAATATATCATAAATATTTCTATGTATCTATTTCCATTTTCTGCTGGCATAACAGAATTCCACAGATGGGGTAATTTATCAACAATGGAAGTTTATTTGGCTCATGATTCTGGAAGCAGAGAAGTTCAAGATCATGGTACTGGCATCTGGCGAGGGCCTTCTTACTGCGTTATTCTCTTTTCTTTTTATTTTTTCTGAGACGGAGTTTTGCTCTTATTGCCCAGGCTGGTGTGCAATGGTGCAATCTCGGCTCACTGCAACGTCCACCTCCTGGGTTCAAATGATTCTCCTGCCTCAGCCTCCCAAGTGGCTGGGATTACAGGCATGTGCCACCATGCCTGGCTAATTTTTTGTATTTTTAGTAGAGATAGGGTTTCTCCATGTTGGTCAGGCTGGTCTCGAACTCCCGACCTCAGGTTATTTGCCCGCCTCGGCCTCACAAAGTACTGGGATTACAGGCATGAGCTACCGTGCCTGGCCTTCTTATTGAGTTGTATGGTGGAAGGGTAGGAGGGCATGAGATCATGCAAGATATAGAAAGGATGTGCGCTGAATTTCATCCTTTGATCAGGAACCCACTCCTGAGGTCACTAACCCGTTCCGGAGATAGTGGCATTAATCTGTTACTAAGGGGAGAACTCCCATGATCTAATCACCTCTTAAAGGTCCCACATCTTAATATTGTCACAATGGCAATTAAATTTCAGTGTGAGTTTTGGAGGAGACATTCAAACCACAGCACTGTGGTTCTGTGTAGTGCTCGTAGTTATTTTGATGACTTCATGATAGCTTACTAAGTTAATGTAATTTATTTAACAACTTTCTCTCATTGTAGCTAAAGCTATTTCCAGGTTTTGTTTTTGTTTTTACTATTATAGCAGGTAATTTCATAAAAGGATACCTTAGGTTCATTTTACCATTTTATTATTTCCAATGAGTATTACTTTTTTGGTTTGCTTGTTTTCAAGGATGGAAACTAGATATAGTAGAATTGAGGATGTACTCCCTTTCATAAGATTTAGTAAGTTGCTCATTTTCCACAAAAAGGTACTGAGCTTACAACTACCGACTTGTGAAGGTCCCTGACTTAATGATGGCTCAACTTATGATTTTCTTGACCTTTTTTTTTTTTTTTTTGAGATAGAGTTTTGATGTGTCACCCAGGCTGCAGTACAGTGGCTCCATCTTGGCTCACTGCAACCTCTGCCTCCCGGGTTCAAGTGGTTCTCCTGCCTCAGCCTCCCAAGTAGCTGGAATATAGGTGTGCACCACCACACCTTATTAATTTTTGTATTTTTAGTAGAGACGGGATCTTATCATGTTGGCCATACTGATCTTGAACTCCTGACCTCAAGCGATCCGCCTGCCTTGGCCTCCCAAAGTGCTGAGATTACAGGCGTGAGCCTCCACACCTGGCCTCTTGTGTCTGCTAACTGACCTTTCCCTACCTGCCCTTTCTGTCCTCCCTACATGTTATCCTTCCCAGCCTCTAGTAACCACTATTTTACCTTCTATTTTTATGAGATCAACTCTTTTAGCTTCCATATATGAGTGAGAGCATGAGGTATGTGTCTTTCTGTGCCTGACTTATTTCACTTAACATAATGTCCTCTAAGCTCATCCATGTTGCTGTGAATAACAGGATTTCACTCTTTTAGGTGACTGAATAGTATTCCATTGCATACATTCACCACATTTTAAAAATTGATTCATCTGTTAATGGACATTTATGTTGATTCCGTATCTTGACTATTGTGAATAGTGGTGCAATAAACAAGAGAGCCACATATCTCTTTGACATACTGATGTCCTTTCCTTTGGATATATACCTAGTAATGGTATTGCTGGATCATATAGTGGTTCTATTTTTAGTTTTTTGAGGAGCCTTCACACTGTTTTCCATATGGCTATACTATACTATACTTTCCCATCAATAGTGTAGAAGAGTTCTCATTTCTCTGCATTCTCTCTAGCACTTATTATTTTTTGTCTTTTTAATAATAGTCATCCTAACTGAAGTGAGATAATATCTCCTGGTGGTTTTGATTTGCATTTTCCTGATTATTAGTGATGCTGAGCATTTTTCTATGATTGTAAGTCATTTTTATGTCTTTTTTTGAGAAATGTCTATTTAGATCATTTGTCAATTTTTATTTTATTTTATTTTATTTTATTTTATTTTATTTTATTTTATTTTATTTATTTATTTATTTTGAGACAGAGTCTCTCTCTGTTGCCCAGGCTGGAGTGCAGTGGCACGATCTGGGCTCACTGCAATTTCCACCTCCTGGGTTCGAGCAATTCTCCTGCCTCAGCCTCCTGAGTAGCTGGGACTACAGGCACGTGCCACCATGCCCAGCTAGTTTTTGTAGTGTTAGTAGAGACGGGGTTTCACTGTGTTGGCCAGGATGGTCTTGAACTCCTGACCTCAGATGATCTGCCCACCTTGGTCTCCCAAAGTGCTGGGATTACAGGCGTGAGCTACCACACCCAGACCATTTGCCAATTTTTAAATTGGAATATTTGTTTTACTACTGTTAAGTTTTTTATATATTCTGGAGGTAAATTCCTTGTTGGACAAATATTTTATCCCTTTCAACAGGTTGTCTCTTCACTCTATTGGCAGGTTTCCTTTGCTATGCGGAACCTTTTTAGTTTGATGTAATTTCATTTGTCTATTTTTGTTTCTTTGTCTGGCTTTTATAGTCTTATTCATAAAATCTTTGCCCAGACCAACGTCTTAAAGTGTTTCCTTTATATTTTCTTCTAGTAGTTTCATAGTTTCAGTTATGATGTTTAAGTCTTTAATCCATTTAAAATTGATTTTTATAAATGGTGAGATATTGGGACCTATTTTTATTCTTTTGCATATGGATATCTAGTTTTTCCATCATCCATTTATTAAACAGATTGTCCTTTTCCCAATGAATGAAGGTAACTTTGTTGAAAATCAGTTGGTCTTGGCCAGGGTTGGTGGCTCACGCTTGTAATCCCAGCACTTTAGGAAGCCAAGGCGGGTGGATCACTTGAGGTTAGAGGTTTGAGAGCAGCCTGGCCAACATGATGAAACCTCGTCTCTACTAAAAATATAAGAATTAGCTGGGTGTGGTGGCACACACCTGTAATCCCAGCTATGCAGGGGCCTGATGCATGAGAATCTCTTAAACCTGGGAGGCGGATGCTGCAGTGAGCCGAGATCAAACTGCTGTACTCCAGCAGGATCCTGTCTCAAATAAAATAAGATAAGATAAGATAAAATAAAATAAGTAAATCAGTTGGCCGTAAATATGTGGATTTAGCTCTGGGTTCTCCATTCTGTTCTATTAGTCTGTATGTCTGTTTTTACGCCAAAACCATAGTATTACTATAGCTTTGTAGAATATTTGAAGTCAGATAGTGTAATGCCTCCAGCTTTTTTTTTCTTCTTCTTCTTCTTCTTTTCTTTTTTCTCAGTATTGTTTTGGTTATTTGGGGTCTTTTGTGGTTCCATACAAATTTTAGAATTTTTTTTCTATTTCTGTGAAGAATGTCATTGGTATCATACTAGGAATTGCATTGAATCTGTAGTAGTACAGTCATTTTAACAATATTAATTCTTCCAGTCCAAGAATGTGGGATGTGTTTCCATTTCTGTATCCTCTTCAATTTCTTTCATCCGTGTTTTATTGTTTTCATTGTACAGGTCTTTTATTGCCTTGGTTAAATTTATTCCTAGATATTCATTTTTTAAATAGCTATTTCAAATGGGATTGCTTGCTTCATTTCTTTTTCAGGTAGTCTGTTACTGGTGTTTAGAAACACTAGTGATTTAAAAAAATTTTTTCAAAGTACTTTTATTTATTATTATTTAAATTTTATTTTTCCCTTAGTTATTGGGGGTACAGGTGGTATTTGGTTACATGAGTAAGTTCTTTCGTGGTGATTTGTGAGATTTTGGTGTACCCATCACCCAAGCAGCATACACTGCACCACATTTGTAGTCTTCTATCCTGTGCCCCATTCCCACTCTTCCCTGCAAGTCCCCAATGTCCATTTCCTAATTCTTATGTCTTTGCGTCCTCATAGTTTAGCCCTCACATATCAGTGAGAACATGCAATATTTGGTTTTCCATTTCTGAGTTATTTAACTTAGAATAATAGTCTCCAGTCTCATTCAGGCCACTGCAAATACTGTTAATTGATTCCTTTTTATGGCTGTATAGTATTCCATTGTATATATACCATTTTCTTTTTTTAAAAATTAATTAATTTTTTTTATTGTAATTTAAGATCTAGGGTACATGTGCACAATGTGCAGGTTTGTTACATATGTATATATGTGCCACGTTGGTGTGCTGCACCCATTAACTCGTCATTTACATTCGGTATATCTCCTAATGCTATCCCTCCCCGCTCCCCCAACCCCATGACAAGCCCTGGTG